GTGTCCACAATAGTTTGATTTATTTTGTGATTATTCATTTCTGAATGTTGATGTGAAATATGAAATATCCATTCTTTCAGTTGTAAAAAACCCCAAACTCTGTGTTTCCCATTTTCATGTGAAAATTTGTCCTCTAAAAAATTTCTCAAATTCAGTTTTTTAAGAGCTGGAATTTACATCACTCAATTTGGAGATCCCCATCGTAGTTTCTTCTGCAGCTTGCCCTGAGCTGTGCATGGGATCTGTGATCTGCACAGGCCAGAGGTAATTCCTGGTGCACAGCACCAGTGAACTCAGGTTACAATAAATCCATCATTACATGCTACTACACCCTTTTGCCACCTACCGGTTTGTCTGGTAGCAGCAGTATTATGAACCCTGCTGGACTGTCACAGAAGAATCAGGAGCAATTTTTTCCTGTAGGCTATTTACCTTCAGATAAAATCATTAAACAGTGTTTAGTTAATACTAGCACAAGAGATCATCAACCTTTTATAATTGTTTTCAAACACCAATAACCAGTGGTGAACAAAGCTGTGTTATATATATGGGTTTCACTTTTCTTTGTTTACTGTGTTGTAGAATTAGGAGAAAACATAAATGAAGTGCATTATTTCAGAATCAATAATACTGTGGACTAGGCATGAAAAATGAATAGTATCTGGCTGCCAGGTGTTTGGATGGAGGACAGGAGCATGAGATGCAGTAACAAACAACAGGAATTTATTGTGTGTGCTGTGTGTGTGTTGATAAGTCTAGAAAGTGTTTCAGATGAAACCTAGAGTTTTGACAAATTAGGCTAATTATGAAACTTGCAGTCCATTTTCACAGCTGCAAGCTTGTCATGTGCAAATTCAGGTCAGATTGTTGAATTCCTTCTGTTTTGGGAAATACTCTTTCTGGCTTAGTCCATAAGTGGTTCTGAAAAGCTTTTTGTTCTCCTGGAAAAGAGGATATTTTGTAATGAAATCTGAGATGAGACAGAATTTTAGTAGTAGATTAGAGGATCCTCTACACTAAAAAAAAAAATGGTACTTGGTGCTTTTTTTCTTTCATTGAATATCACTGAAGTTGGAAACAGGTTCTTTGATGAGGCAGTTTTAAGGCAGGGATAAATCATGAATGACATGGACAGACGACACAAAAAATGAAGGACTCTCATTTATGAGGAAAGAAAAGTAAAGGTGCAGTTTTTTAAATTGTTGTGTAAGAGAGCAATAATTTGTGTGTTATCTGTAATGTCACATTTCATTGCACTGTGGAATTTGTAAGAAAAGACTATTTTGGAAAAATTATAAAATATGTTTGCAGAGCTGTAAAATTACTAAAGAGAGGTGCACAGATTGATGAAATTCTCAGAGCATGTTCAGTGTTCCTGAGCAGTTTTGTAGACACAAAACACAGCTGTTGGAATTTGAGGTATTGATGATTTTGAGATTGTAAAAAGTTTTTGGTTTTCTGCTTCGTTATTAAAGAAGAAGTCATAATTTGTTTGTGTTGGTTTTTAAGGTTGTTTATTTTTGCTTATTTATAACATGTTTTGCTGCCCTGCCGTAGGTTTGTTTTGCAGGGCAGCGTGTGGGGTTCTGCTTTTTAGTGGGATGTTACAAATATTATTTATTAGAAATTATATGTGTTATATTTATAATAATGTGCTAATATTTATTATTTATGTTGAATAGTGTGTTCTTAGCTTAAACTAATAGAAAAATGTTAATACTATAGTGAAATATGGAGGGTATGAAGAAGGAGAAAAAGGACAAAATACACTTAATTTCTTTTATTTTGTCTTTTATGAACCTCTAATTTAGAATCTAAAAATTTTACTTTTGCACCCGTGCCACACTTAATTATTATTTATATCAAACACTCAGAGCTGGTAATTCATCCTGTAAGATTGAAAACTCTTTTCCACGGACAGAGATCACAGCCAGTGTCTCTGGGGGCTCTGTCCAGGGGGGTTCCTGACCCCTGCCAGGGTCCCAGAGCTGCCAGGGCAGCCAGAGGGAAGCTCTGGATTCCCACACACAGCAATTAACACTTGATAGATTTCTGAAAGCAAAAAAACCTGGGAGAATGTATTAAGAAAAAATTACTTTACACATTCCCTAACTCTATTTAAATAATGGGATGTACTTGTTAATGAGCGGTATTTTGAACTGTGAACTCATGTAGGTTTGGAAAAATCCCAACCTTGTGTAATGTATTATTAGATTTGCATAGTGATTCTAATGAATGGTTAATTAACAGTTGAGATGAAGTCATTCTATCATGAGGCATTCTCCTTACTGTTGAAATATATAAATTAATAAAGATTATATGAAATACACACTTTTAGCCCTCTTAGAGCATGAATCTCTTGGTAAGCCAAGGTGGTTCCTGAAGAGCTGGAACAGAACATCCTGTGAGCAGCAGGTGCTGCTCTGACCCGGGACCTGTTCACCTGTTGTGTTTGAATACAGGGCAGTGACTGCACCTGAACCACAGGAATCTGACCCCAAACAAGCAGAAATAACAAACCCTTCCCTTCCCTTAGTCAGATTTGGACAGATCTTCATTCAGTACCGTTGCAGTTTCTGTGTCAGGGAGGTAAGACTCATATCTTGTTTTCATTGTCTCTGGGAGGGGAAATCTTGCATCATTTGGGATTTTCTCAGGTGACCAACAGTGACAGAAAATGAATTGCAGACATTAAATAAAAAAAGGCTTTATATTCTATGTCCTTAGAGAGCTTAGTCATTGAGCTGGTTTTGGTTGAAACAACACAATTAGATTGCCCTTGGCTTGTCCTTGCAAATTTATCACTGTCTTTACTGCATTTGCAATATTCTGCTACTAAAGTCCCTGAACATACACATGAAAAGAAGCTTTTCACACAGAATGAGAAATGTTATTTTGGATTTTCAGAGAAAATAGGCCAGTAAAGACCTTTTTTTCACTTAATGTGCTTTAAGTTAGTCTTATTTCTGCCTAATTAGCTTTAATAATATTAAAGACTACAAGCTGATGTTCCCTCAATTCAGGGATCTTAACTTTAATACTTATTAGGGGATGCAGAGAAAATGTATATTATGATATTCTGTCAATCCAAAACAAAAGACCTGAAGTCCTGTATTTATCTCGGTCTTAGTAAGGCTTAAGAAAACAAATTACCCAAGTTGTAAACCAGCTGAGAAATAAACATCTGAAACTGTTTTTGGGGAAAGGGAAATGAACAGGTGACGGGGAGAAATGACTTCAGGTGGGTTTATCTTGTTTCTCTTTTGGCTCTTTGACATTTCTTGTGAGTAGAACATGAGCTGTGCAGTCCCTTCCCAGGCTGGTAAGAGGTGAGGAAGATCTGCTGTGGGGTGGGGAGATGCTGTTTCTTTTAGCAGCAGCAGTGGGGATTTGGAGATGCTGTTTCTTTTAGCAGCAGCAGTGGGGATTTGGAGATGCTGTTTCCTGCAGCAGCAGTGAGGATTTGGAGATGCTGTTTCCTGCAGCAACAGTGGGGATTTGGAGATGCTGTTTCCTGCAGCAGCAGTGGGGATTTGGAGATGCTGTTTCCTGCAGCAACAGTGGGGATTTGGAGATGCTGTTTCCTGCAGCAGCAGTGGGGATTTGGAGATGCTATTTCCTGCAGCAGCAGTGGGGATTTGGAGATGCTGTTTCCTGCAGCAACAGTGGGGATTTGGAGATGCTATTTCCTGCAGCAGCAGTGGGGATTTGGAGATGCTGTTTCCTGCAGCAGCCTCTGGGTCTGTGCCCCTGCCCTGTGCTCCCCGGGGCTCGGTGCTCTTGTGCTGTCCCTTCTGTTGCTGCAGCTCCTGTAGGATGTGGGCAGTGTCTGGGAGCTCCGGGACAGCTCCAAACCCAGCAGGGTAACTGCCCAAGCACGCACCTGAGCCCTACAGCCAGCTTTGCAGCTGAGGTGAGCTCTCGGTGCTTGCACTGTGTGTAGAAGCTGGTTGGGGTGTTTCGTGGCCAGGACTGAGACGTGCCAGGGTCTGTGCTGTGCTACTGCAGTCACGCCTGGATCCATTCCCTGTCTGCAGCCCCGTGAGGGCTCAGGCAGCGCTGGGTGCCTGCTGTGGGCTGCAGGTTGGGAATTTGCAGCTGAGCTGCAATCCTTGCAGTGACGGCAGCTGCAGACAAACGCTGAGCTCATCCCTGGCTCTGCTGGTTACAGACCACTTGCAGTTATTATTCAAGGGCGTGTTTTCATACCTCGTTTCTGTGAGGTCTGTCTGAATAACGTAGATACAGCATATGGGCAATTTATATTGCAGAATACCTTCCAAGGTACCATATAGCAATTAATTTTTTAAAATCTCTTCTTAAATCAGAAAAATAAAAAGGGATGCAACGTATTATGCAGATGCTTCATAAAGGACATACAGCTATTGAGTATTTCATAAATATTTTGTAAGATGAATGTTTCGTTTACAGTTCTCAACTAAAATTTATTTTATTCCCTGGGTGAAGAAAGAGAGAGCTGCACATCCTTGATGCAGCTTGGACAAAAAAAAAAAAAATCTGGGTAAGAAAAGCAAGGTCACTGAAAAATCTTTTTCTGAATTTAGAATAGCTGATGGCTTGTGTTTTGCACAAATTGTCAGTCATATTAGGACAGGAGGAAATGGCTTCAGGCTGAGCCAGGGGAGGTTTAGACTGGCTGTTAGGGACAGTTCCCTCACTGAAAGGGAGGCTGTGTCCAGCCCTGGCACAGCTGCCCAGGGCAGTGGGGAGTCCCCAGCCCTGGAGGGATTTAAAAGCCACGTGGCTGTGGAATTTGGAGGGGGTGGTGGCAGAGCTGGAGCAACAGCTGGACTCAATGATCTTTTTTCCAACTGCACCAATTGTCTGAACTTTGCTGTCTTGTCACTCACAGATGGAAATCATTGCTCTCTTTGAGAGGTCGCTACTGCATTTTCCAGTCTCCTGCTGTTCCTTGTCTCCCTTTCAACGTCTGTGACATTGCCGCTGACCTGGGGCACACAAACTGAATAGTAAAGAGTGAATAGAGAAATCTTATGTTCTGTTTCTTTCCTACAGCTTCATGGGGAAGATATAAATCGATAGGTATGTTGCTCATTTACTTGAATTTCTTCTCACTAATCCCCTTAATTTTATTCTTTTATTTTATTATTATATAAAGTTGTTTCATTCTCTCATAGGCAGCACTCTGTCAACTGCCAATGTCTTCAAGGTCATTCAGGTATTTCTGGTATCTTTTCCTGGCTTACACTGTGCATCTCCCAACCTTTTCACAGCCACGCCTCTAAAAGGCATTATTTATTTTTTTACCTATTTTTTTTCTATAATTAGGAATACATAGCATATGAAATTGAAAAGCCAAATTTTGGAAAAAGCTTAAGTACTGGAAAAAGGTTGACTAGAATTTGAGGTTTTGGCAAATAACCACTTTCCTGAGTATGCCAGGTTTCGCTGAACTTGAATGCCCACTCAGGTTGCTGGTGTTTTGTTCTGAAATAGTGTTTAGCTTTTTTTCCCCATTGCTTTAAACTTGTTTCTGCAATGAAATCTCACAAACAGATCTGTGCAACTGTATTTGCCTATATTAGAACTTTTAACCATAGGGAAGTGTATACTTGTGTATACTTCTTGCTTTTTACAACTCCTGAGAGTTGTGCCTGCTGTCTGGGTCATAGCTGGATTAAACACTTCCTGTCTTCATCCCCAACCAAGTGAGTTATTTGTCAATGCAAACCACAGAAGTTGAATGAGATCTGAACCACCCAAGGAAGGACCAGATCTTGCAGTTGTCCTTTGAATGGTGAGAGGAAACATCATTTTAGCTGTAACTACAGGAAATCTCTCCAACCCAGGGTAGTCCATAGGTAGTATGTACACCATTCTTCCACTAAAGAAGAACTGATGCATTTTTTTCCTTATGTGGAAGTGATTTTATCCTTTTGAGATGCTTATATCCAGGTCAGTATTACTTGTTCTGTGCAAATATTCTCTTTTACTCTGTGAAACTTTTCCTATGCTTCTGTTGCTAAGCCTCTGTTTAAGCTTGATGGATAATCCCTGAGCATTGTTTTAGGGTTTTTTCTCCTTCAGAAAGTAAACCAACATCATTTTATGTATCAATTATTCCAACTGAAATGTCAGTTGTTCTCTTGATTATTGACTGAACATTTGCCAGTCTTTTTGTTATGTTTTAGTAGGGATAGTGATTAGAATGGAGAAGCAGCCATGTCTCAGCTGGCTTTCAAACTCCCATGAATAAAGCTTCAAAAACACCTCGCTGGGTCTGTAGTTGAAGTGTTTTTTTCCAGACACACAGCCAGGACAAAGCTGTCCCCTGTGTCTCTGCTGCAGGGATTGCACATCTTTTTTGATGTGTCAATAGCTGCAGGTTCTGGAGGGCACAGGTGGAGCTCGGTGGGTTTTAAAGAGTGGAGAGAATTCAATGAGAACATTGGGAAAGGTTATGTACTTTTCCTTACCCCCAGCCAGGTCTAGGATTTTCAGAGTTTAGTTATTGCTGTCCCACTGCTCAGATCAGTGGTTGTTACCTCCAGTGGAAATAAAGTTGGGGTAATGTTTGGCTCTCTTGAAAGAGTCCTGTGCTCCTTGGGAATGCCTGGGATGCTGAATGGGGATGAATCACAGTGTTCTGAGGGCTAGGCAGAATTTTTTCTTGGACTGCATGATAGCTTTATGCTAATTCTGTGTTCTGGAGCATGATTTCATCTCCCAGGAAAAACTCGTTTCCATTTTTCTCTTTTGTCCTTTCTCATAGTGTTTGTGCTTTAGGTATTTTCAGCGATCCAGCTGCAAAATTACAAGACTTTATCTTCTGCTTTTTGTTGGAATTGTTCAAGCTTTGCTTTGGGTGACTTTCTTTAACTGGCTTGCCCATACACTGTCTTCTCAAGACAGATTCTTTTAATTTTTCTGTCTCTTGCCTTTTCTTTTTAAATCAGAAAATTGTACTGGGTGTATGATCTCTCTTGCCATCTGTGTGTGAAAAAAGCACTTAATTTTTAATGTTAGCTTTATTATATTGAAAGTAGTTAATGTTCATATACTAGAGTTTGGATAGGGTTTTGGGTTTTTTTTACCCAGGAGTGTTATTCCAGGAATTCCAAAATACATTTTAATGAACAAATGGTCTGTCAGTAGAGATTTTTGGTAGCCAAAGTGAGAGCAGAGTGAAGTGTGGCAGTGTTTGCTCTCAGCACTGGCTCTGTGAGCAGGCTGCTCAGAGGATGATGAGATCAGAGGAGCCCCTTGGGTGGGATTTTCCCTTAACCACTGCATGTCCTGAGCACTGTTTCAGTCAAACCTGAGAAGCTTTAATTCCAAATTTGAATTCTAACTCATTTATCGGATCTAGAAGAGGCTTTAAAATAACTTAATCTGTTTTGTTTATGAGCATGTGCAAGAGGCATTGTCATTACTGTGTTTTCATTGTAAAGCAAAAGTGTGTTTTAAAATTTGAAGTTTTGTGTGGAGGGGGTGGAAGAGGGGCAAGTACCCAATATGGATTTCTTTTTTTTTTTTTTTTCTTTTTTTTTTTTTTTTTTTGTTATACTTGAAGAAAAAAAGAATGCTAGAAACAAGCCCTAGCCCACATAATTTAATAATTTAATGCTTTTTGCAATGAATAATAGAATTCTATGCTCCTAATTGCATTGAAGTAGTGAATTTACACTTTTATCACTTGACTGTAAAAGCATTACCTCCTTTGGTATGCATATTATCATTATATTTTATTAACCAAGGGCTCTGTAGTTGTTACAGTGTGAAGAGCATTTCCTATATGGTGCTCTGTATTAAGAACCTGTTTTTAATATCAGTGTTAGTTCTGAACATAAAGCAGTGTTTCTTCTGTGACATAATTGGTCTTTTGTATTAATGTTTACCTCTGTGGCCTCCTGACTTTCTGGTGTGTTACTGAATTTCCAGACTTACCTTCAATCATTATTCATCTTACAAATAATGGATTAAAAAATGGGTGTAGTGACTTCCAAGCCAGCCCTTCTATATCAGTTGCCTTGTCCTAAACACTCCCTGACCTGGTCTGCTCCCAGCCATCATATGTGCTCTTAAACAGTGAGGGAAACATCCTGCAGGAGCCTCTTAAAGGCTAATTAATCTATTAACTTTGTCAGGTAGGCTGAGATTACTCAGCTCTCTAGGCAATTTCAGTCTTTCTTAAATTATTCTAAGATTTCTGTCGTTTCATGTGCTGCACTTGACTCTTACATTTTTATATTTCCATTCTTATTTAACAGTCTGATGGTTCTGTATGAAGTTCAAGGGGCTTCCTTGCATTATCTCCATTCCTATTTCTCTGTGCTATGGGCTGTAGAACTTACATCTTGCTTTTGTTTTAGCTGCTTGAGTCTTACCCGCATACTTAGGATAAAAAGTTGAGCACTCATTTGCATTTTTCTGCTCTTTGTTTTTCTTCTGTGCCTGCTCTTTCGTCTTTTCAGCTCTCTCCCACTATTATCTCTGAAGCTTGGAGCAGATATCAATTTTTGAAGCATTTTGAAAGTTTTCACATTAATTTTGAAGGAAGGAAGGGTACAATTTGCTCTTCAAGTGTTTAAATGTTTTTCTGCTCACTCTAAGGAGCTGAGGTGAGTTTCTCTGAATGGGCCTTAGGATCTGCCCGAAGCACTCCAGTTCCATGGGGAGAGTTGTTATGAGGAGTGCTGGATTTCACAGCCTCCCTCTCAGGCATTAAACTTGTCCAGGCAGCTAAAGGAGCTCACCATGGTCGGGAACATTCAGCATCAATTCCTCTGCCCTTTAATTCAGTTTGAGTTCTCAGCTGCCCCACTATATCTAAGAGATGTACTCCAAAATACATCTTTCTTCTTTACGTAGGGATATTGGGCCTTTCTGTCCTAGCTGCCTGGAAAAAACATCCTATTTTCTTAGTTAAAGAAGGCATCTTCATTAGAAAAACTCATGTCCCTCTCTCTCTCTCTTCCTCTCTCAGAGAGGGGGCGAGGAAATGGAATTTGACAGCATCTTCTCCATTCAGACACCATCATTCGTATAGAACCACTGAGGGTTAAATAATGGTGCCTCTTGGAGACCTATTTTAAAATTGATTTCTTGAGCCTGCATGGATTCCAAAATAAAGTTTCTTCATGTGGAAATAAAAAGGCATAAATATGTATTTTTTCTTAAAATATCATTATGAAATCCATCATAACTTTTAGTGTTCAAAAATCGTACCTTTAATTGCATTTGTGAAAACCTAACAGAGTAAACAAACATTTAATTTACTTGTGCAATAGGAACATGATTAATGTGTATTATGATGGTACATGGGGCAGAACAAAACCTATTTTTTTTGCCCTCAAATTAAATTGATTCTTGATCAAGAGGATCTGAAAAATATCAAGAAACTGTTTCATCACCAAAAGGAGAAAGCTGTGAAGGATTCTGTTGGATAAAATGATGTGATGTTAAGTAATTTTTGAGACTGTAGCTGTATTTCCAGCATTGCTGGATAAGGAATTTGTACATCATGGCTGATAGCTACTGATTTCTGTTAATTTCTAGCAAAAGAACTTTGTCTGAATTGCCTGGTTTTGTATATGTTTCTTTTTATAAATAAGTAGGTGCAGTTCTTTCAAAAATTTTGGTAATTTGGGGATATGAAAATATCAAAAGGCCTTTAATTAAGTATTTTCTTTACAGATGGACAAATTTTCCTTCTCTTTTGCTAGAAGTTAACAAGCTTGAGAAGCAATGTGTTGAATTGTATTGTACAACTATAAAAAGCATATTCATATATTTTCAAATACCTTTTAGTAAGGTATTTACAGAAATTAGAATTTAAAGTATAAACAGATTTATTAGCTCAGACTAGGATTTAGGAAGAAGTAATGCTCTTTAAAGATTAAGGTTTGGGATTTTTTTTGTTTTCTTTGTAATTCTGCTTTCATCTAATCAGGGATCTCATTCTCAATACTGCTAAAAAGGCGTTTGACATGTAAAGGCATTGTGTGCTTAGCACAAAATATGAATTAATTGAGGGCAATCCTGATTTTGTAATTGAGGAGTATGATAATTTTCTGTTTATA